TGGCAGGGTAAGGGGCTGATTGCAGGCACATTTACAGTTCAGTGAGCTATACACTCTTCCCTCCCTCCTGTCCCTCCTTCACTCACCTGGCCCAGGGAGGTGGCGGCCGTCCTGCTGCCTTTGCTGGCTCTTCCACCTCGCAGGGACCATTCACCCCGTACCCCAGGATCCCGTCTGGGATGAGAACCCCATGCTGGTCTCACATTGCAGGGCTGGTGAGGGGCAGCGCACCTCAACCCCAGAGCCGCGGCGGGCCCGATGTCCAGGTGTGGGGCTCCTCCCTGCACCTTCCTCCTCGCCTGGGTCCCTCACCGTGCTTGTGGATTGGGGCACCAGGGCCCAGGCCCCAGAACGGGCAGTGGGCAGAGCAGGCGCGGTTCCCAGTGTGTACAGAACGGGCCCTGCCCGCGAGCTCCCCGAGGCCTGTCTCCGTCGTTCCGCTGTGCCTTGTGGACACCAGCCCACGTTCAGACTCTGGATGGACGTCTCCTTAATGCTCGCTGTCAGCTGTCTGGAGCCAGCGCAGCAGCTAGACACTGGGCCCGAGCCCAGGGAGCTTCTGTCCACGGCCAGGCGGTTTGTCCTGGCCTCAGGGACAGCCTGCGGGAAGCACCTCTGCGGCCACCCTGAAGCAGACTGGCACAAGCGAGGACACTTGTCCAGCTGTCGCGGCAACTTAGTTTTTATGAGGAAAATCAGCCTCGAGGACTCAACCTGTGGCCTGTCCCTCGGCAAGTGCCACCCGCTCTGAAGCTTCTGCCATGGCGAGAGCCTCTGTGCTGTCCTGCCAGCCTGGCCCCTCGTGTCCGTCTGAGCCCTGCCTCTGTGCCATCCTCCCAGCCTGGCCCCAAGTGCCCGCCTGGGCCGTCTCATTCCTCTTTCCTTTTCTGTTCACCCCCAACCTCAGATCCCCCACAAGTCCCAAAGCAAACTGGTGCTGACTTCGGCTGACCTCTGTCTGCCAAACCTGTGTCCTGTGATGGCAGCTGCCCTTATGCCAGTCTGCTTCCCAGTAGCTCTGGATGCTGTCACTTTCTGTGCCACACAGGGCATGTCACCTGCCTGCCCAAGGCCACCCATCAAGGCAGTGGGTCAGGCCCGCAAGTGCCCCAGGCAGAGTGTATGCATGTGTGCGTGTGCGTGTGTGAGAGCAGGCACGGGGCACTCACATCAGCTGTGCGACTCGAGGCTCAGCCACATGGGAGGCACACGCCCACCCCGGGGTGTGGTGAAGCCAGAAGTCTCCGCCTTGCACGGCAAAGTGTGCTGACCTCAGAGACCTTCTGCCCTGCGCTCTGGGCCCGCGGGCCTCACCCTGCCCCACTGACCCCCTGCTGCCTTGGTCAGGCTAGAAGAGCCCTCGGTGGATCCCACAGTGCTGGCCTTGCCTGGCTGCGCAGTGATACCACGTGACCCACAAGTGACTCCACGTGAGGCCAGGTGAAGACCAAGCACGACCGGCCACCTCCCACCTTTGAGCCCCAGCCCCGCCCTGCCAATGGCTTCTCTGCCCAACGGGGAAGCCTGGTGACTGTCCAATGTCCTTACAACTGAGCCTCTGTGTGACTTTGGGCCCGTCGTCAATTTGAGACCTGGGGCTCTAACCCTCCTATGTGGGTCGAGCAGAAGGGATGCACCAGGCACCACAGGCCCTCAAATTGCTTGCGGCAGGTGCCACTACCTCCTCCCACCCACACCACTGTGTGCTGGACCTTCTTTGGCTTCTGGAGGAAAAGTCGTAGTGAAAAGAACATCATTTTTTAAACCAGGAACACTGAATCTCAAAACAGTTTTTATTATGGGAACACTCAGTGACGTCTGAACCCCAGCTTCAGTCACTGCAGACACCAGCTGCTCCCGCCGTTTCTGCTCTACCTCCTAACTTGTGGAGGGTTTTGAAGCCAACCCTGATGTCGTATCTAAGAACAGACAGCTTGCTTGCTTGCTTTTTATTTGTGCAGGCTACCCTGGAACTCACTGTCCAGGCTGCCTTTGAACGCACGATGATCCTCCTGCTTCAGCCTCCTGAGTGCTGGCATTACAGGCATGCACCACCACACCCGGCTCAAAATAGCTTTCTGTTCTCTGGGTCCACAGTGCCACTGCCGCACCCTCCCGCATGGTTTCGGAAGTGCTTGATATGAAATAGCAGCTCGGGTGTCCGGGCCCCACTTGCTCAGACTGCAGCTCAGGTGGAGTGTGGGCGCTGTCGAGGCCTGTGCTGTGTGTTTGGTGGCTGTGTCTCTTGGGACGGGGGACCCCATGCATGGGAACCCACACAGGCTGAGTGGCAGGAGAGTGCTGGCTGACTGCTTGCCCTTGGCCCCCAGCCCTGTCACTTTCCGACGTCACCCACCAGCCCTGCAGGCATCTGTGTCGGCGAACTCCACACGAGCCTGGGGCCAAGTGGGGCTGAGCCTGGACTTCGGGCCTCCCTGGATTTGTAGAAATCGTTGTGTCCCAGGGTGAAGGCGCGCACGGCTTCCTGACATTTCTGAGAGCTCCTGATTGGTCGGTATCACTTCTATGCTTTTATGGGTCAGAAATGGTTGAATAGAAGCAATTTCATGCTGTTCACCTTTATAAAAGGAACAGATTAAATTTTTAGAGAATGAAATAAGAACAGGACATGGTGACACATGCCTGTAGTTCCAGCATTCTAGGAGGCTGAGACAAGAGGATTCCAAGTTCAAAGCCTGCTTGGGCAGCTAGGTGACTTGGTGAGAGCCTATCTCTAAATGGGGGCGGGGCTCGGTGGGAAGGCACTGGGTTCAATTCCCAGTTCTGCAGAGAAAAACGTATCGGGGCAAGAACTAGGGGTGAAGGACTTGCACGTGCTGCTCTGTCAGATAAGCGGGTGTGGTGAATGCTGGCATACGCAGCCTGAGGTTTACGGGCACGGTGGCTTCTTTCTGGGAACTTTTCTGTTTCCTGTGACAGCTTCACTGAGGTGTCACTCACACACCACACAGCGCACCCAGGTAGAGTCCTTGGTGCTCAGCGGAGTCACTATGGGCTTGCTGTCCTCTGTCCTAGCTGACTGGCATGTGAAATGTTTCAGATTTCAAACTTTTTTTTAAAGTTATTTTTGGTGCTGGGAATTGAACTCAGGACCTTGCACTTGCCAGGCAGGGGCTGTGCTGCTGAGCTATATCCCCGGCTGAGATTTTGAACTTTGAAAGGCTTGAGAATATTTGCACACCCAGGAGGAGATGTCTTGGAGGTGGGAGCTGAGTTTATGCCATGTGCACTTGGCACATAACCCGAAAGAAATGTTCTGTGTACAGCTTTTTGTTAAGAAAGTTTTGTTTTGATGTGACACAGGTATTCCTGAGGCGCAGTGTGACCCTTTGAAACCTGTGTTCAGTGTGAGATGTCCTGGAGAATTAGCGTTTCCATCACCTTAAACATTTTCTTTGTGTTGGGAACCTTCAAATTCCTCACTGCGGTTCTTTGTGAAACACAGTGAATTCCTGTGAGCCACTCTGCCGGTTGGAAATGCCAGGGCGCACGCCTCTGCGCACCTGTATCCTCAGCCCGTCATTCACCCTCCCTCAGTGCTCCACCCCATCTGTCTTGCTCCAGTGGCCTTTCTTCTACTCTGTGCTTCTATGAAACCGACTTTCTTAGGCCCCACACAGAAGTGAGATGTGTGATACTCACCTTGCTGCGCCTCCCTTGCTGGGGTTTATTTCCCTCCTTCTTGAGTTCCGTCCACGTTGCTGCAAATAAAGGGGTTTGTTGTTTTTATGCCTGCATAGTATTCCATCGTGTGCGTGTGCATTTCCTTTACCCTTTCTCTGGTGGTGGACATCTCTAGTGAGTCCTTGCCTCTTCTGTTGTAATGGTGCCTCATCCAACTTGGGCGTGCAGGGATCTCTCCAGGATATTTTGGGTCTGTTTCTAGTAGTGGGATTCCTGGACAGATGGGAGTCCTAGTTTTCAGATTTCTGAGGAGCTTCCATACTGCTCTCAGTGGTAGATAAACTAATGCACATTCCCGCCCTCCAATATAAAAACTTGTTTGTTATTGCAGTCCTGGTCGTGGGCCCTGGGGCTTCTGCGCTGGGTTACTCTCCAGCTCTGTTCTCATCTTGAGACAGGGGTACTAAGTTCCCCCGGCTGGGCTCCTCGTGTGACATTTTCTACTTACTCATGATGACATTTTTGTGCTTGAAAAGTTCAGGTTTTTGGAGCGTTGAGATATTTGGATTTGGAAATGTGCTTTTTAACCTCTACAGTCAATTTTGGGACATTTTCATCACCCCAGAAAAGAAACCCTGTACCCATAGCAGCCGCTCCTACTCCCCCTTGGCCCCCCGTCCGCCTGGGCAGGGACCCAGGGAGCAGCCTCCTGTCTCTGCAGATTGGCCTTCTCTGGACGGTTCCCGTGGACGGCATTGTACAGTATGTGGCCATTAGCGCTTGGCGTCTGTCCCTTCGACTGCCGTTTCAGAGGTTGATCTGTGTCGTCGCGTGGATCGTCCCAGTGGGTGGACATGCCACACTTTATCTGTTCATCCGTTGACAGGCATTTGAGTTGCTTCCAGTGTTTGGCTTTCAGGAGATTAGGAACAGGGGTGCTCTGAAAGCATGTTCAAGTTTCTGCTGCATGTGCGAAGCTTTTTCTCTCTCAGGTATTTCTTTAACCTAAGTGTGGGCAGCTCCAGGCTTCCCAGCAGCTGTGCCACATCTGATTCCCATGCGGGTGGTGGTGGGAGCTCCCCAAGACCTCGCCAGCGTGTCCCTGCCTGCCTGTGCTGGCAGGGTCTGTGGAGATCAGCGAAAGGGCTGTCACTTTGTCAGTGGCCTAGCACGTCTGTTGGGGTCATTTGCAAAAGCTCCCCTGGGCCCGTTTTAAACTGCACACATGTTCCATGCTCTGTCACCCCCATGCCCACTGCGGGCTGCATCCTTTCTGAGTGGGTGGCAGGCGGTGCTGTCTCCAGGTGGGGAGTAGCCGTTCGTGCCTCCTCTGCCACGTTCCCCTTTCTCTGCAGGTGTCACCATGAAGCTCATGGACGAGGTGGCTGGGATTGTGGCCGCACGCCACTGCAAGACCAACATAGTCACGGCTTCTGTGGATGCCATTAATTTTCACGATAAGATCCGAAAAGGTAACAGAACTCTTCTGACACAGTTAAGGGGGAGAAGGGACTGCCCCGGTCTGTGCCTCTGTTCGTGGTGTGCTCACGCCTGGTGTCACCCATGTGCCATGGGAACCAGAAAGGGTGAGCCTGCACTTTAGTCTTGCGGGGACATCTGTGAGACCAGTGTTGACTGGTTTGAGTTTTCAGTTTGGTAAAGTAGGACACTCAGAGAGGCAGAGGCCGTTTTCTCTGTAAAGACCTGCGTGCACTCATCCACGTGCACCGAGGGAGCCCTGTGGAGGTGCCACGTGCGCGGCGGCCACACCAGCCCACCAGGCCTGTGACCAGCACGTTTCTTTGCAGGGAGGAAGCAGCCCCGCTTGCTTCACTTTGGGCACCCTTGCTATTTGAGGTTCCCATGGCCTGGTATACCCTGTGGTGCCCCTTGCCCACCACCGCTTCCTTGAGAGCCCCCAAGGCCTGGCGCAGACCCTGCACAGCCCCACAGCCCAGCCCTGGTCCCCCCAGCAGGTGCACCTGCAGAACACACCTGGCCGCTGCTCGCCAAGTGCTGGGCGGAGGTGCCCACGGTGGGGGGTGCAGGGCGACCTCGTGGGGAGCCAGTTGACTTTCCCCCCCGGACTGGGGTTTCAGATGAGGAGGACCATCTGCGGCAGGGCCCCTCTCCACTTTGCAGAACTCCTGCTCAAGCACAGGTGGTGGCTACAAACAGACTCCGGTGTCATTTTCAGCATTTGTCCCAAATAAGTGGCCTGGTCTGTATCGTGTGCTCTGAGCTTTGGGGATGAGGATCCGCCACGTCGGGAGTGTGTTCTAGGTCTCCTGCCTGGGGAAATCACTGTGACTAGGGCCACAGCGTTAAGTACCGATTCCGAATCCACGGCGGAGAATGCGATCACATTCCCTGGGGCCGCTGTGTGCACCTGCCCCCAAGCGTCCCGAACCGCTGAGCAAAGAGCGCTGTCCCTGCTTCCTATACCAGGAAGCAGGAGAGGATGAAGCTCCGCTCAGCACCTGCGGTGGACAGCAGCCTTCTCTGGGATTGCCGCAGCCACTGCGAAGGGCCCCAGTCTTCACCCTCTTTGCTCTCGCAGCCAGGATCAGGGGGCTGGGGGAGGCGGGCGTCAGGAAGGGTGCAGTGGCTCCAGGTATAGGGGTTGTGGAGCCTGAGGGAAACTGTAAGCTGGAGCCGACCAGACCATTTTTTTAGGGTGTCTTTCGCAACTTGGAAGATGTGGGGCGGCTCGGGCAGGGGACGGGATCTCCTTCGAGGGAGGCTGTGCTGTCTGGAGCTCTGCATGGGTTTCTGTTTCCGGAGCTGTGACTCTGGCAGGGTGGCCGTGTGGTGGCCTGGCTTCCGTGGGTGGTGGGGACAAGGGTGGCCTGGCCCGTGACACTTGCAGAAGAGCTGCAGAGCAGAGCCGAGCTGACGTGTGGCACAGCACCACCACTCCCGTGGGTCCCTGCCCCCCCCGTGGCTGCCACAGCCTTGGCCTGGAGAACCCCAAGAGAAGCACGTGGCTCCTCACGGGGGCGCAGAGCTGTGCTCCTTGCTTGGGTGACATCGTGTTTGGGGCAGAAGGAATTTGGGGCAGACGAGCGGCGGCATTGTGGGGTTGGCCCGTGTCCAGGCCGATGTCCCCTGGGCTGGCAGACTGTCACACCCTGTTTGTGGTTTCCAGAGGAATGTCACCCATGAGGAACCCACGGGAGTGATGTCAGGAGCTTTGGCAGCAGCGCCATGACATGTGTCTTGGGTTCCGCAGGGCACAGGGTGCTGTTACCTTACACCAGCGCGAGTCCTCCCTCCGCTCCGTCAGAGTGGGGCAGGCAGATCGCACTGGCTTCGGGCTCCTCCTTCGCAGGCGTGCATGAGCAGTGGAGTGGGATGAGGCTGGACCCCAGCTCTGTTAGGTGCCTGACGCGGCCCTGCTCAGATCCCTTAAAACCCCGAGACAGCCGTGCTCCCTGAGCGCTGTCCCCACCCAGTGCCCTCCCCTTGCCTTGTGCTTCAGCTGGACGTGGAGGAGGCGAGAGGTTGGCCCTGCTGCCCCCTCAGAGGACAGGGCTGGAACCCCTTCCTTGGAGCTGCGCTGCGCCTGGCTGGGCCCTGTGTCGTGAGGAGTGGCGCAATGGTTTCCTAAAGCTGCCACCACGCCGACCGCAGGCTTCCTGTGGAGAAATGATCTTGCCGACCGTTAGGGTGAAGGTGGACTCTCTTGGAGAGGCTCCGGAGGTTATGTGAGAAATGCCACATCTGTTCACCGTCTCCTGCTGGTGTGGAGAGAACACCTCCGCCCCCGCCGCCATGGCCCCTTGAAGGGCGGGCGCCAGGCTGTTCAACTTTGAGACACTTGGCCCCCTCTCAGGCTTGGCAATAGCTTTTTTATTATTTTGTTTTCTTTTCCAAATCCCTGGCACGGTGTTAAAATCTGACTGCTGCCACTCTGGAGAGATGCCCGACTGTGGGGGCGATGGCGGGGCGCCTGCCAGCCCCACTGCAGCGCCATCCCGTGCTGGCTCACGGTCGATTCAGGCAGACGGTGGCTGCCACTCGGCTCACCCACAGGTGTGCCCGCCTGCTGACGTAGCTGCTCTGGAGGTGGGGCCCTGTGCTGAAGGGGCCCCTCCCGCCTGGACACCACAGCTCTCAAGGTTCTGGTGGGCGCAGAACCCTGAGTCCAGGGTCAAGTGTCCAGTGAGACCTGCAGGGTCCTCCAAGGAGGAAACCGTCACTGTGGGTCACCTGCTGCTCTGTGTCTACAGCTGCCCAGAACACCGGACCATTCAGACCCAGGTTCACCCGCTCCGTTGTTCATGTGCATACCTGGCCATTCTGAATACTCAGGCTGGGGGACCCTCCTTCCCTCCTCCCGAGGAGAGGCAGGCAAGTGGACCAGGAAGGCTAGCAGGGCCCGGGCACTGCTGTGAGGCTTGCATCTGACTCAAGCTCGAAGGAAGGGACAGACAGCATGGTCTGCAGCAGGCCACTGCCCGTGTCCCCAGGTGCACCCGGTCCAGGCCTGCTCAGAGTCCTCCAGGGTGACGGGAGGGTTGGGGGCTCCTTGGGTCCGAGGACCAGACTGGTGTGTACGTGGCCACACGCTCCAGCCCTCACGGGGCTTCTAGGCGTCACTCAGATGGACAGGCTGGCCGGTGCCTGGCAGGAGAGGAAGCCTGGTACAGGAGGAGTGCAGTGGAGGCCCTGGACTGTCCTAAGCGTGTGCCTGCATGGAGAAGACATACTGAGCTAAAACCCAAAGGGTGTGCTGGGCTAGGCCTTTGCTGTGGCCGAGTGTGAAACTAAGGGTCAAGGTGGAGCGCTCTGAGGACCAGGTTGGACCCTCAGCCCCGGAAGCTCCGTGGGTCCCTGGTAACTGGGCCTGCCTGTGCCCAGCCCAGGGCCAGCCCCAGAGCACTTCCCATTCCTACCCAGGGCTCGTGTGGCCCCATGGCACCGCTCTCCAGCAAGGGGCGAGGCTCGGGTCTTACTTGTGGTTGGGGATGTCCCCATTCGTGCGTGGGAGCAGCGTGTTGACCCCACACCCTGTTGCTTATCGTCTGGCCCAGGGCTCGGAAGATCGGCTGCTTGTTTGAAGTTAGAAGTGTCTTCAGATTCTAGCATAGAAATGAAGGCGGGAGCAACCAATGTTTGGCCATGGCAGGTTGGGGGCTGGGGGCTGTCCTGGGCCACCGTTGAAGGGCACGTTTTCTGTTACTGTCTGGAATTCACAGCCGTGTGCAGACCCCAGAACTGCCCTCCTGGCAGCCATCCTAGGTGCCCCTCACCTGACGCGCAGGCTGCCGAGGGAGTCCTTGCTGGCTCGCTCTCACAGAAGGGGCATCCCTGCGTCCCGGCTGTGGCCTCTGGCTCGTAGCTATCAGAGGCAGGGGTGGCTGCTGAGCGTTTGGGGAAGGGGAGACACTGAAGACCCTGGGATGACCGTTACGACCTTGCAGCCCCTCAGCTGGGACACGGCCCCGGGGCGTGCGGTCCCTGTGTCCAGATGATTGCAGGTGACGCTGCACCTCGCAGCCCGTGCCATGCCACCTGTCACTGACCACGTGGCTCTTTCTTCCCCCCCAGAAATGGTCGTGTCCAGCACGAAGCTCGTAAGTATGCTGTCAAGTGTGGCGTGGAACATTCTGGAACATTTATATAGAGTAGCCTGCGCTGCCCCTTTGTCTCTCTCTCTCTCTCTCTGGGTCTCTAAACGTGTCAGTAACTAGTATGTCAAAGGGCCCCACTGCTAGCACCAATCCCTGGCCGATGTGGGTGGGTGGAGGAGGCCTAGCTGGGATGGGGCGCTCTGGTCACGCCGGAGGGAGGCGGCAGCAGCAGCCAGGTGCCACCCCCACCCTGAAGCCCCACGGGTGAGTGCAGCCAGGAGCAGTGACGTTGGCAGTGGCAGCGATGATGTCTGTGGAGCAAGCTCCGCACTGGGCTTAGTTCCTTCCCTCCCACGGCAGCCAAGAGGGGTCTGGGGTCTGTGGTGTCTGTTCGCAGAGGCGAGCTGAGCTCTGAGAGATGCAGGACTGTGGCGACGGAGGGAGGGGCCAGGCCGTGCGGGGGTCGTGCCCGCGGGTGAGGGGGCCGGGAGAGAGGCTCCAGGCCCGAAAGCAGCGGCCAGCATGCAGCATGCAAGCCTGGGCCACAGGAAGCGGAGAGGCTTCCCAGGGTCACTGGGGAGGGGGAACGGTGGTTTGGGTTTGTCATGATCACGTGGCACCGTGCTGGCAAAGGAAGAGTGGGCCTGGGGAGAGGCCCGGGCACTATGACAGCGCTGAGGATGAAGCCTCAGCGGGGCAGAGGGTGAAAGCAGTGCCAGCAACCCCGAGAGCTCGGGCGGGTGGCATGAGCTGACGCCAGGGGGGGCTCAAGAACGCCGGGACCCTGGTCAGCCCAACAGGGGCCTGAGTTGGTCCAGCAAGAGGCACGTGATGTCTGGAAGGTTCTTCAGGGCGCTGGAGCAGTGTGATGGGGCAGCTGTGTGGCTTGATGCGTCCTAGGAGGAGCCGGGCTCTCAGCCCCCGCGCCCTGCCAGGGTGGTTCCTATGTGGCGAGCGACACCCAAGGCCCCCAGACCCTGAGGACAGCACAAGGGAGATAGCGTGGGCTACTAACGGCGCGTCCAGTAGTGTGTTGCCTAACACCCTTGTCGTTGCGGCCTGTCACCTAACCTCGCATCTTTAGCTGTCCTTGGTAACACTGGTGTAGCCCTGCCCGGCCCCACCCGGCAGTGCGTGCCACTCCCTCACGTCCACCCCTGTGCTCCGCAGGCTGTGTCATCACCATCTCTGGCCGCATGACCTTCACGAGCAACAAGTCCATGGAGATCGAGGTGCTGGTGGATGCCGACCCAGTGGTGGACAACTCGCAAAAGCGCTACCGAGCTGCCAGCGCCTTCTTCACCTACGTGTCGCTGAGCCAGGAGGGCAAACCGCTGCCTGTGCCACAGCTGGTGGTGAGTGTGCCGTGTGCTGTGTCTCAGGCTGGGGCAGGTCAGGTGAGGTCACATGAAGCAGCGCTGTCCACCCAGCGGGGAGGCCATGGGGACAGAGTGGACATGGCGGTGCCCTCTGGGGTCCAGGTCACCGTGAGCACAGTGCCTGGAGTCCCTGGGGTTGTAGGTGTGCTAGAGCAGGTGAGGACCGTGCCTCAAGTCCCCTGTCCTCCACGCCCTGCAGAGGGCCTGCTTCTTCTGAGGTGGCCTTGGTCTGTGTGTCCTGCCAGATGGGGACCAAGTCAGAGCCCTGGACTGCGGTGAGGTCTGGGCTTCCTGGGCTTTTTTTCTCTCAGAGCTCCAGGCATGGCTGTGCACTGGGTGTGCAGGGCAGCCAGGTGGGCGTGCACCACGCACGTGTCCCTCACAGGGTACCAAGAGCAGCCCAGGGGTGTGGCCTACCCCTGTCACCAAAACTGCGGGTCCCCCTCCTGGCTGGCCCCCAAGGCCCACAGCCTTCAGGCCCGCGCTGAGTCCTCGGTGGTCCAGGCCCGGTGCCTCTCCCTCAGGGGCGGCAGAAGCAGGGCGCTCGGGTGAGGTGGGCTCCGCACCCCGGCAACGTCTGTCTGTCTGTCCTGCCCGTGTCGGGCGGCTCTGAGTGCGCTGCGTTGGAAGGCTGTCCTCCCGGCGGCCACGAGCGGCTGAGGAGGCCCGCTGGCCTGAGCCACGGTCCCCGCGTCCGTGCCGCGCTCGGTCAGGGCTGGGGTCGCCGCCTCTGTCCTGCGCCCCGCCGTCCTCGTCTGCTCACCTGGACTTGCTGGGGGGCTGTGCTGAGCCACGCTGGCCCCGAGTCCGCGTGCGGTCCTGTGCCACACCTCGGCCAGCACAGCCTCCCCGAGGGGCTGTGGGCAGGAGTGAGGGCTGACGGCGGACCGGGACTTGGCATGAGGAGGGTTCAGCCAGCTGGGTGGGCAGGCGGCAGCCCTGCGTAGCGTTTCCCCAGTGCCCACGGCTCTGTGGGCCCAGGCCGCTGGGACCGCACCTTGCCCTCTGGGGCATACGTGGCAGCCCACTGCCAGGTCGGGACAGCCTGTCTGCCCTGCCCTTCCATGCTCCCATGGTACCCCCTCTGCAGGCTGCTGCTCCTGGAGAGCCCAGGAGGCAGGCAGGGAGGGCATCTGCGCCACGGCAGCTGTGTCCCCGGCCTCCCTGACCTCAGTCTTCGGCCCACAGCACCAACCCCTGCGCCCCTGCCCTGGGCCCTCTTGGGCACACACACTAGCGCACTGCCCCCACCCCCGTGCGCTCGGCAGCCGCCTGCCCCGGCCGTCCATCCCGGCTGCTGGGCCCGGCTTGTCCGGCAGCCCCGGTGCCCCCGTCCCACTGGCTAGACTCCAGCTCACTCACCTCGGGTGCCAAGTGGCTGGGCCTCGCGTTTGTCTTTCTAGAGACCCGAGTCCCCAGTCTGAGTGGGCAGCGACCCCAATGGAGGGGCGGGGCACACAGGGCTGCTGTGGGCAGAGGGAGCCACCTCCTTGGTTAGGGGGACGGCCACTGTGTCACCCAACGTGGGGACTCACTCGAGGCCGGCGTCAGGTGGGTCCAGGCTGTTGCTTTTTGCTCATTAGAGATGGTCTTGGATTGCTCATGGAGGTCCCTGGGACCCAGCGACGCTGATAAAAATAGACTCTGGCAGGGAGGGCAGGGCAGACTCGCGGAGAGGGCCGTTTGGCTCTAACCAGGCCTCCGTGGCACCCGCGTGGGCACCCTGGCCGAGGCACACGCGGGCCGCATGTGGCTACGGGGGTGCGCGTGCTCCCCCCCCCGGCTCCCTCCTGCCCCCGCTGCCAGCAAGTCTTCATGCTCTGCCTATTTCTAGCTCCCTCCCCAGGGCCCGGCTGACACGGAAGGCAGCCTCTCTGCCGTTGTTTCCTGATGAATATTTGATGTGGGCAGGGCCTGCACACCACGTTCCCCAGCAGCTGCGGCACTTTCCAGGCTGAGGATGGGAACTGGTGCGCGTGCAGGAGGCTGGGCTGCGGGTGTGGATGCCAGGCCTCCTTGTGGCAGTGCCCTCTGGGTGGGGGGAGGAAGGCCCCAGACCACTCACCAGGGCTGGGAAGGCAGGGGCTGTGCGGGGCTGGCAGGGGCTCCACCTTCTGCCACACAGGACCTGTGGTTCCCTGGGCACCTAACGCCGGGACGGCCCCGTGCTTCCCAGGGGTGATTTTTCCCAGCTGGGCATGGGAAGCATTTCTGTGTCCAGGAAACCAGGCTAAGAGCGTGTGTTGGGGCCAAATGATTCTCCAGCCCCTTGTGTGGGCATCACTGACCCCCAGTTGCCCTAGATGAAGAGCCCACCGCCCGTGGAGACCCCAGATTGGCCCTGGCATCAGCCAGAGGACGTGGGCGTCCCGGCCTAGGTCTGAGAAGGCTGTGTCCCTGCAGCGTACATTTACCGTGTGTGCGCCCAGCAAACCCACAGCAGGCGGGTCAGCCCAGGCTCCCCCAGCCAGGGTGCCCGTCACTGGCCACGGAGCAACAAGAACGCATCTTCCAGGTTGAGACAGCACAGGGGAGCCCCTGCCCCCGTGCGGTGAATGGCACCTTCGTGTCTTCCCAGCTGTAAACGCTGTCCGCCAAGCACCCACCCTGAGCTGGGGAGGTGGTGCCTTCCAGGCCTGCACAGCGCTCTGGCTGTTGCCGTCTCCTGGGAGGGTGGAACGCAGGGGTCAGAGTAGCTTCCTAGATGGGGGCAGGCGTGCTGGGGTCCTTGCACTGGTGAAGGACAGCTGAAGCCCTCAGTGTGCGAGGTTCACCAGTCCGTGCAGTGTCTGTAGTTAGGGTGGATTGTCCTGTCCTGGCAGGATAAGGGTGACCGGTTGCCAGGGCCACACGGCAGGCCAGCTGTAGCGCTGTGTCCCCTCCCCACTCCCCCAGGAGAGGGTGGCTTACTGCAGGTGTGGCCGAAGGTGGCCCTTCTTGGCTTAAGCCCTGGGGGGTCTATCTGAGGTTGGGCTCAGGCCAGGGCCTGGGAAGGCCGCACCTGCGCCTCAGCCCCGCCGGCGGCACTGCTGTGCCGTGCTGCTCTGACACTTGCTCAGTGTGGGCCTTGGTCCCATCCCTGCATGACCCGGGAACCACGCTGACGTCCGCTGGTTTCAGTAGTGATCTGGCGCAGAGGCCCTGGCACCTCTGTGCTAAGGCAGTGCACAGGGCAAACTTGGCGTAGCTGGCGGCTCCCTGGGACCTCAGCCCAGCCCTGGGCACAAGGCACTGAGGGCCTGGGTCCTCCTGTCACCTGTTTCTCCCACTAGGAGTGGTCACCACCTTCCTGACCATAGTCCAGCCAGGATGGAGAAGGAGGCTGCTGTCCATGGTGTGGCCCAGCCTGGGGAGAGGCTTTGGGGTCATGGATAGTTTCACCACAGACTCTTACAGGCTGTGAGGCGCTACCTCCTCTCCTAGAGTTTTGTGACCGAAAGAGCCATGGGGCACTTCGGGGCCTCTGCCAGCCCCTGTGCCCGCCCGCCCCCCATGGCTTCCCCCTGCTCTCTGTTGGCCTCCTTCATTTATGTGCCAGCTTGGAGTCTGGAGAGCCTTTCTCGCTGGCCAATGCTGGAGTCAGGTTTTGGAAGGGCCGTAGGTGCTGCCTGTCCTGGGAGGGCCGAGGACCACACATCCGCCACCTCACTGGGAGCGAGCCCCCGCGTGCTCCTGGGGGTCTGTTGGGACGGGAAAGACCAGCACCAGAGCTGCCCGGCCACCTGCCCGCTTGGTGCTCGGGGATTGCAGTGAGCACTGTGTCCCCCAGAATCAGCTCAATGAAGTGAGAGGGTGCCACACGCTGGAGCCCCTCGGCTGCCCAGGCTTTTCTCAGCTCCTCTGCCGTGGGGCTGCCAGGGTCCGCAGAGCTGCACCGCTTCCTTCCCACAGCGCTGGCCTGCAGGGCCCACGGCCTCAAGGTGCCAGGAGGGCAGCTGCTCCAGGCGCAGGGCGGAGAGCACATCCGATTCCACTGGGCCACCTTGGGAGGGGAGGGGGAGCGGCAGGAGGAGCAGCTGCCCTGGTGTGTGCTGGGAGGGGCAGGGCCGCCCCGCCCTGTGCACTTGAGCACCGTGCTGTTCCCTGGCTCGGGGCTTTGCCCACAAGGGGCAAGGACCATGGGGGCAGAGGCCCGCTGAGGCCAGACACACTTCAGAGCTGTGTTTAAAGGTGCAGCAGCACTTGCCCATCATGCGCCGTGCACACGTGCATGCACACACGCGATCCCTGCCGGCCGCGGAGCTCGTGCTTCGGTGGCTGTCGTGTCTCAGTGTACTTTCGGCACCGTGGCAGCCCTGCCCGGCCCCGCACCCTTGGGAGCCAGTTGGGGATGGGTGGGCAGTGGTCACAGAGCGAAGCCCCCACCAGACTCTATGGGGTGTGGGCCGCACCTGTGTGAAGTGCAGCCTTCCCTGTTTGGGTCGCTCATTCACTGGACAAAGGCCCCTCTGTCCCGGGCTCAGTGCTGGCCTCTGACCACAGCAAGGACCACAGGGCACGGAGGGCCGAGGCCATGGTGAGAGCGCAGGCTGCGGGGCCACCCCGGCAGTGAGAACCTGGCAGACAGCAGTTACAATCTTCTCACTTTTGGTGATACTGGGGACTAAACTCCGGGCCTTTACACAAGAGCCACATCCCTGCCCCTTTGTTTATCTTTGAGACAGTAATACACTAAGTGGCCAAACCGTGCTCAAACTTGTGATCCTCCTGCCTCTGCCTCTCAGAGTGCTGAGACGATAGGCACGTTCTGCCAGGGGGGCCAGTGGGGTCTGACAAGCTCCTGTCTTCAGGAGAGACCCCCAGTGCCCACTGCCAGGCCTGAGCAAACTGCTTTCCACCCTTTGCCACATCTGCCCACCTCTGCCATGTGGAATTTCTTGGCCACCTATGGGAGCATTTTCTTCCGGGTCTGGGCAGGTACCAAGGGAGGACCCCCTGGCCAGGTATCAATGCTTCCATAGTGGTGTCATCACTAA